CATATTTTTCCTTGCTATATACAAATGCTGTACTTAGTTCATACATGTTCTATTATTTCTGGAATGCCACCTCGTGCGGTTGTTCCCAATTCACCTTGTTGGGCAAGTCTTTCTTGGTCAGGTCAGTGAATGGTGCAGTAATTTCAGCATAATTTGGGACGAATTTCCTGTAGTATCTTACTAACCCCAGGAAGGACCTGAATTGCTGCTTGATCATTGGAGCTGGTGCATCTTGTATGTGGATTACCCTTTTCTTTTCCATGGCTATCTGTCGGTCCCCCACTTTATGCCCAACAAACTCCAATGTAGCACTTGGATGGCCTGATGGTTAGACCTGCTGCCCTCACTTGCTGGAATAGTAGTCTAAGTCTCTTCAGATGGTCTTCCCATCTTGCAGTTTGTGTCAGAATGTCATCCACATAGTACTTGATGTTGGTGGTGTTGTGCAGCATTTTCCTCATCTTGTGGTTGAATGTTGCTGCTGAATTGACTAACCCAAATGCCATCTGCTTAAATTGGTAACATCCGTCTGGTTTCACAAATGCTGTCTTCTCTTTAGACCCTGTTTCCATCTGGATTTGCCAGTAACCTTTACTGAGGTCGATTTTTGAAAAGAACCTGGGCCCATTTAGTTTTGCCATGATGGCCTCTGGGTTGCCCATAGGTTCAGAGTCGAACTTTGTTACGAGGTTCAACCTTGGGAAGTCTATGCAGAAATGGTTGGATCTGTCCCTCTGGTAAACATTAGGCTGGATTTGAAGGCTCATTGATTCCAGCTTCAAACATTGTCTCAACTTCCTGCTTTATAAGATCTCTCATTGCATAAGACATCACTTTGACTGGATCCCTGGCTGTGGTCTCGATCTTGTGTTGCACAATGTCTGTCTTTCCTGGTTTATCTGCGAAGGTATCTGTGTTCTGGCACAGTAGGTCTTGTAACTATTTATTTTGCTTGCCAGTCAGGTCTTCACTGATGTTGACATCTTTGTATGTTTTATCTCCCCCTAGTAGTCTTAAGTCGGGTAGGTCCTCATCTTCTAAGACAAAGTCACTGTCTTCTGATTCTGCATCTATGATGGCCACATCAGCAACATCCATCTCTGTTTCATTAGCTGCACCCATTAGGTCTTCTTCTCTCCCAAAATACTTCGTCAACAGATTGGCATGGTATATCTTGGTCTTCCTGTTCATATTCATCTTGTAGTCCATCCTGTTGAGTACTTCCTGTACTTCAAAAGGTCCTTTCCATTGCAAGGTGAGTTTGTTGTGGAATGTGAGCGGCACAACTAAGAACTTTTGTCCAACTTTAAAATGTCAATCCTTGGCCTTCTTGTCACAGAAATACTTCTGACTGCCTTGAGCTGCATACAAACTCTGTCGAGCAAATTGATAGGTCTCCTCCAGTTGGTTTCTGAGGTCTAGCACATACTGTTATCTGTTCCTTACTTCTTCTCCTATCCATAGCTTTTTCAATATTTGCATCAGACCTCATACTGTTCTTCTATACAGTAATTCGAAGGGTGAAAATTCTGTATTTTTTTGTGGGACTTCTCAATAAGTGAATAATACTGCCTGTAAGTACCTGTCCCAGTCATGTGGTCTCTCTTGGCAGATCGTCTTTAGCATACTCTTTAAAACACCATTGACTCTCTCACAAAGTCCATTACATTTAGGATTATGCAGGGTAGTCAAGAGTTGCCAAGTACTGATGAGTCTGCACAGATCCTGCCTCATTTCTGAAGTACACTGGGTCTCTCTATAACTCAGGATTTCTATTGGAAAGCCTACCCTGCAAAATATCTCCAGGAGGGCATTTGCTTCTCTATCTTTGGCAATGCCATTGCTTCTGGATAACGTGTTGCATAGTCGACTACTGTTAGCACATACCAGTTGCCCTTGTCAGACACAGGCACTAGTGGCCTGATTAAGTCAACAGATACTCTGCTGAATGGCTCTTCTATAAAAGGCATCTCCCCAATGGCACTTTGGCTACCTTCCCTCCAAGTATTGTCCTTTGGAAGATGTCACATGACCTGTAGAATCTACTCACACCTCCAATTACTCCTGGTCAATGGGAATTACTGGTGATTCTGTCTGCCATTTTCTTTGTTCCTAGGAGTCCTCTCATGATTGATTCATGTGCCAACTTCATCACTTGAGTCCCGTATTCTTTTGGTACTATGATCTGTTTAACTTCCCCAGTTTAATTGCTTTGATAGATTTGGTATAGAACTCCCTTCTGGTCCTCTATTCTATAAGTATCTTTCCCCTTTGTTTTGTGCTTGACTTTCTTCTGGGCATTGTCCCAAAGTTTCTGCAGTGAAAGGTCTTTCTTCTGTGCTTCTTTAAGTTCCTGCAAACCTCTTCTTTTTTTGAGCTCTGATGGTCACAGCAGATGCTTCATCAATCTTCTTTCTGTGTAGTTCCTCAAAGTTTCTGCTACCTGGAATGTTTCCTATCACCAAGTCATATATTGGTTCCTTGATACACATGGCCTCAAGATCTCCTACATAGCATGGAGTATCCTCCTTTATTTTTGCTATGAGAAATTTTCTCACTGTTTCATCAATTAACACAGACAGTAGTACCTTTCCATCATCTGATCATTGGATACTATACTGGTTATCACTGCTGCTCTACTGAACAAAGTGTCTGATAGGACCTTCACTTTCTTGTTTCCAATTTCGACTTCACTTGTCATAATATTATTTGATGGCACCTCTTGATATTTATCACATGCTCCCATCACTATTGGCACTATTGATCCATTTGCTAATTTGAGCTGACCATTAGTCGTGCACTGATCAGCCATGCTTTCTTGTATTGAATTTGACAAATAGTCTTGATTCTATTTCTTCTGGCAGTAGCACCCACGGTGCCAGTCACTCTTTTCTTGTTTCTTACCAGTACTATCTTTTTAAATAGCTCCAGCTGCTTTATGTTGAGATTTCTGCTGTTGCTTGCTGGTAATGGATTTGACCTCCTTTGCAATCTGCCCCATTATATAACAAACATGACGTATCTTCTGTCTATTAACACCCTGTCACCTTTGGTAAACTCCTGCTTCTGGTCAGCCATTACTGGTTTCAAATTTAACTGGCATTCCGGGACTTGCCAGTTATACTACCTCCATGGGCTTACATATACTGTTCTGCCTGTTTGATCATCTTCTCTACATCTTTTGGTGCTCACTTCTTTAGGAACAGTGACAAGTTAGTTGAACACATGGTCATGAACTTCACATACTAATAGGTCTGTCAGTCCCTCATAACTATTTTTACACATGGTCATGTCAGTCAATCTGGTAAAATATTGCTGCAAACATGCCACAAACTGAAATACAGTTTCTCCAATATCAGGTTTGACTCCTCTGAACTTTCAAAGAAAACCTTCTTCAGTAAGTTAATATTGTTTCATTAAAGCTACTTTTAATTTGTCATAATCCATGGCATATTCTGACGTCATGCTTGAATATACTTGTAGGCCTTTTTCTGTGAAAAGTGGGCTGAGACAGACTGCCCAGTCGCCTTTGTCCCAGTTCTGAGATTGGACAAATCTTTCATATCTCTCCAGGAAAGCATCCATGTCATCTTTATGTTCATCAAATTTAGGCAGCTTGGGTCAGCTAGTCCTGACTCCATTGCCATTCTTGGTTCCTTCTTCTTTCGGTTGGGTGAGTTTTGTTATCTAAATTTGTGCTATTATTCCCTCTATTTCTAATCTCTCCCCTCTCTCTTTTTCTTCTTTCTCAGTTTGTATTCCCAACCTTTCTATTTCTAGTTTCTCCTTTTTCAATTTGTCTCTTCTGTTGCTGTTCTTCTTTTTCCAGTTCTTGTTTAACAAACTCTCGTAGTTCACTGTCTTTTAACCTAAGCTGATATCCTCTTTCTACCCATTTATCAAAATCCGTTGACATTGTTATGTAACGTAATTTCAATCTTTATACTATTTTCGTTACTACTGCAGTTCTGCGTATATAAGTAGGTCTACTTATTTTCGCTGTCATTTACGTTTTCTTATATCGCCCTTTATCACTGTATAATCCTGGCTGGCTTGCCAATTGTCAGAATTAAAAAACAAATATATATATAATTATATATAAATAAATTTTCTTTTTTGACAATTGTCAAATAGAAAGGCTTTTAGTTATATTTCTTAATATAACAAATATATACTATGTTGTTGTTGGGCTCAGGATTCTTCTAATTTGGGTCTCTGTGACTTGTTGGCCATAAATTCAACCATGAATAAAGAGGACGCACTTTACTCATTTTTAAAATAATATGTACATTCAGAACAAGTTAACGTATGTATAATAAATTCTTCAATGCTATAGATATTATAGGCATATCATAAATACTATATATGTAGTTCTCTCCTTCTTGTCAAATATCCACGAAGGCCTATTCAATTACTTTAGAATTTCAGTTGAGAAGCCGAACTATCTTCTCTATTTCTATCGCATTAGTATTCTCTGTGGTAGGAACTTTGTAGAATAAAGCAAGATTGGTAGTTACACCTGTCAATTATTGTCTAGCAGAAAGAAGTGAGGGTTATCAAAGGCCTTAAGTTTTTTTTGTTTGTAATGAATTGTGTATAAGATATACAGAATTTGGAAGTCGCTATTAAATGTTATTAAGACATAGAGAACCTCCAAAACACTGGATTTTACTATACCAAGTTCCCCGTGTTTATTACAATCCCATAGCGTAACTTCTCCTCCTTCTTACCAGTGGGGGATTTCCCATTAATCTCTATAATTAATGAGACAGTTGTAAAATAATACCCTGAATCACCAATAAATGACTATATGAAATAGAGACCTAAATATTAGACTCTTCTTCATCAGATATTTAGTATTAATTTGTTCTGCGAGTGAGACATTCCCTTTTTATGATAAATAATTACTGTGTTAATAATTGTTATTGTGAAACAAAAAATACTGGATTTGTATTCCTCCGCTTCCTGTTGGCGCAATCGCAGCTTCTGCGAAGTACGTCACTCTTGGATGTTATGGCGGATGGTGTCCACGTGGGGTAACAAAAACATGTTTTAATTATTTTGTAATTTGCATAAACAACGCTTTTCATATTCAGAAAGGTTTAAGGGAAAGGTCTGCGTTTGTAAGAGGTTGGTATATTTCCTTTTTTAAAGTCCCTCGTACATTTTTTAGCATATTAATATTTTAACATATTGCATGTTATTGTTATCAACATTGTTTGTCATGCCTTGTGTCTGAACTTATATAGGCATGATGGAATTGTTATGTACTATTAATACTATGTACTACTACCAAGCCGATTATACATTGTAGTGAGTTTCATAGTAGTATTAGTATTAGTGGCAGTAATAATAACTGTTAATAGTAGCAGATTTTTAATAGATAGGTAGTAGTAAATTAAGAGTTTGCACGTTTATTTTTTTATGTAAATTGTAATTTATTAGTTTACATAGAAACATACAGAGACTATAATTTACTCGTAGTAGTACTAAGACTAGTACTACTTCTATTAGTGTCATACTGATTATTATTAGTAGATTAAATTTTAGCACTAGTCTCATATTTAAGAGGTTTTTGGCATTTAAAACTAATTAGTTAAGCATTTGCCGTATACAGATGATATACCATTACCATGTATAAGTGTTAAATGGTGATACATATGCATTCTTTATTCAAGATATTTTAAAACTTGTATAGTATGCAGTTAGCTTGGGTTATTCAGATTTGTTATTGGGATTGTATAGACAGATGTTGGATACTCTGTTAGCTAACTTTTGACTTTGAATTGATAGTTTCTACTGCATTCTACAAAAATAAGATGCCATACTGTATTGTACTTGTAGTAAATACAAATTTTAAGGGTTGCATTTCATTCTGTGAAATTGTAATAATTTTTTGAAGAAAATGGCAATAAACAGTTACCGACACTTATAAGCTGGTTAATGTAACTTAAGAAATCTGCCATATTTTATTCCTAATAACTAATGAAGTTAAAACTGAGGTTTGTGGTTTTTTAGAACAGCATAGTTTAGTTGACTGAAACATTAGTGTAGAAATTCTGTTTATTGTCTTTTTACATTTGATCCTGGTATGAGAAATTGAAAATGGTATGTGTATATGACTAGATTTTTCCCATTGAAATAATATCGTCGTGAACCTGGTGATATCAAATTAAAATAAGAAACAAAATTAGTATACTAAGTTCCATTTTTTGAAGAAATGTTCATAAAAAAATAAATCAAAACTGATTTTGCAAGATGAAATATTTCATTTACTATGTTATGGGAAATTGGGAAGAAAGAGATAGTGTATTTTCCTTCCCTTTGAATATATTAGGTCGTCAAGAAATTAATGTCACTTTTTTTTAGATAAAAAACCCGAACAACTTGTATATCAAAATAAAACATTTATGAAATGAAATAGTCTCCATTCTTATCGATGGTGTTTTTTACATCTTACAATCAGGTTGTTAATGCCCTGATTAAAGAAATCACTTAGCTTTGAAGCAAAATACGTATCGATGCCATCTTTAACACCTTCCACATTTGCATATGTTTTCCCATTAAGATGGTGTTGCAGCAAACAATTAAGATGGTAATCTGATGGTGCCATATGTGGAGAATATGGTGTGTGGGGGAGAACTTCCCAACCCATCTCCATAATGTTGTGTTGGGTCAAACATTTGCATACATTTTCCCATTAAAATGGTTTTGCAGCAAACAAAAAAGATGGTAATCTGATGGTGCCATATCTGGAGAATATGGTAGGTGGAGAACTTACCAACCCAACTTCATATTCTTGTGTTGCATCAAACGTGCCACATGTGGATATGCATTGTCATGGAGAAGAAAAACATCTTTCTGATTGACGAGTGAAGGGTGTTTCTGATGAAAGACTTGATTTAAATGTTCCAGTTGCTGTGGATTGAGGAGTTTGAAATGAATTACTCCTTTGATGTCCCACCAAATACAAAGCATCACTTTCTGTGGATGGTGTCCAGGTTTTGGGTTTGGAAACTGTTTTTGTATGGGACTGAGCAAATTTTTTTGGCATTTAATAATCACATAGAGAATCCATTTTTTTATCACCGGTGAAAATTTTGTCCAAAAATGGTTCATGATTCTTGCATTTCACAATAGTAAATTGCTTAACAGCTCAGAAAGTAAGGGTCACAATGCTCTTTCAGTTGAGTTTTTGAACTCCTAGTAATCTTCCTCAGTCATACAAAATGTTGATGTTTTAGGCATTACATCTATTAACACAAGCCATCCTACTTATGCAATACTCAGTAGCTGTAGTCAACAAAGTGTGCACATACTTCTTAATGAAACTCTGTAAGATGTTCAGAAAGTAGGGATTACAACACTCTTCTGGTCCTATTAATCTTAAAATCAGGAACTCATTCTAATTTTGTGAAAACTGAGTGGCAAAGAAAATGCAGTGCATATATTTCATCATGAAATATCACCTGAGAGCTCAGTCACAATTTAACAATCAGTGACACATCCTAACTGCTGGTCCAACAGTTAATTTCAGCCATAGTAATTAAGAGGGCATTGTTTGCATCTATGATAACCACTGAATTTGCCAGTGCAAAACAATGTGTTGAGCAATGTAATGAAAGGATTTTCAACCTTAAATCTTTTGATGACACTAGTGTTTTTACAAGTCATCATGCTTATGCCATCTGTTCCTAGGCAAATGAGATTTTTCATCTGGGATTTCTTAATGAGAAGCACAGCCCATATTTCTCCAAAAATATCATTAGCCATTGCTCTTCCTAACTCACTCAGGGACAAAAGATGTCCGTCTACCTGTTAATTCCAAATAAATGGAATACATATAACAATATTCTGATAAACACTGTGGTCTGTACTTTTATCAAATACTGGTGCATACATCCTAGATGATATGTCCAAAAAAAGATCCCCTATAATTTCTGACATCACCAATTGAAATCGTAAGCACTGTCATGGCTAGTATACGTCTTTCTTTGATCTGAGCTCAGCACTTTCAATTCTTGACAGTCCTGTTGAAAGTATTTTCATTCTGTAACTGAACACAAGAATTAGCCAAATCAGATTCATGTAGCCAGCTGTAATCAAGGGAGTTTTTATTAAATAAATTTTGATAGGGGATAATCTGAAGAATTACATTTATCAGAAACATCCTCACTCTAAATTGTTCATAAACAATATCTACCTCAATATATAGAATTATCCCAAGTATAATAAGGAATATCAGAGACATGGTATTCAAATTCGATGACAAGGAACCCACTTTGATACTAATAATGGCTGGAGACGGCTTGAATGGGTAATGAAGAAAAACTTTAATATAAGTTTAACATAACAGCAAATGTACAAGGTTCCGACAAAACCTTGTCGAAACCTTGTACATTTGCTGTTATGTTAAACTTATA